AGGGAGGTCAGTACGGCTGTGGTGACTTATAGTGAAAATAATTTTGTGTTTAACCATCGTGGGAATGTTGTGGTGAGCGAGGTAGTCCTGTCCCGTCTTTTCGCTATACACTACTTACCAATGTCATCACTACCACCACACTACAGGCACCACTACACTTACCACTATCACCACTACCATCACACTACACTCACGACTACCACCACACGCCACCACACTACAGGCACCACTACACTACACACTACCACACAACACAAGGCCACTGCCACTCCACACACCACCACACTACACCCACCACTATCACCACACTATCACACTACACTCACCACACCACACTCACCACTACCACACACTACACTATAGCAGTTTCTACGCTAGTGTCTACCTAGGTTCACTCACCCACCTTGGTTACAGCTGGTGTATACTGTATTTATTCATGCGGTTTAGTCCAGCTCTCATCGGGTCCAGTAGGTGTTGTTGACTGTTTATGGTGGGGTGCCGGAGCTAACTTTGAATATAATTTGAGAAAGATTATTGCTTTATTGATTCAGCTCGGGGTTATGTTAAGGATTCTGTCTCTTGAGTTTGTTGACCTTGCTTTGTTGAAGTGTTTGTGTGTGCGGCGGGTGGTAATTCAGGCAGTGAAAGAGTACCAAGATATTCGTTGCATGGGTAGTTTAGTTTATAAGATACCTCTAACTTGTATAAACTTGGCCAATCTAGCATTATGCAGAATACTATTTTGGCTGGGTGCTATTTAATAAAAGATCTGATTTTGGAAGTAGCCTTTATGAAAAACTTTAATTGGTTTTTATTTTGTACTCTTTGGCTACAGGGGTGACAGTATGTTATAGGTTTTATCTGTTTATTATAGAGGAGCATGAGTCAGGTAAATGATAAGAGAGTCGTTATGACCAGGTCGTTAATGAGACTAATAGGCAGCGGGGTAACGAACGAGGCTTTCTTATCCTCAATTATTTTTCCTGAGTCATACATGATTTGTCTTGCCTTAGGGTTGAGAGTGCTAGCTGCTATAGTCTCCGTAGGTTAAAAAAAAATAGAGGATTGGTATTACTGGAGTCTATGTGGCTAATGCCGTTTCTATCTAAGCTTGAATTGAGTCGTCTCAGGTTGAAGAGGCTGGAATGTGCATGAAAGTCTGGGGCTACGGCTGGTCTGAGTATTTCGGGGGTCAGGGCTTAAATTCTAGCGTTATAAATCAGTCAGGTTACTCACCACGATCTATCTATCTATCTAGCTATCTATCTATCTATCAGAAAGTCATATACTGTACTATTATCAATAAACTTCCTCAGCCAGCAGATAAAGCCTTCGGGGTACGATGATTACAGGTAATTGCAAGAGTTCTTCACTATTACCAATTATTTTCACCTCCCAGAACACTACCCGAGGCGCCTCCTTGTGCTGGATATTACCAACAGCAACTACCCGTGAAAGTCTCTCAGTGTATTAATAAGTTGGTCTCACCTGTCACAATACAGCCTCAAGCCTTACCTGTGTGGGGGGACTACAAGTAGTGACACATTACCTGGGAGAATCATCTGTTAATGAGATAATTTACCTGTTTTATACACCTTTACCTGAGAGAATCTGTTAATGAGATAATTTACCTGTTTTATGCACCTTTACCTGGGAGAATCATCTGTTAATGAGATAATTTACCTGTTTTATACACCTTTACCTGGGAGAATCTGTTAATGAGATAATTTACCTGTTTTATACACCTTTACCTGGGAGAATCTGTTAATGAGATAATTTACCTGTTTTATACACCTTTACTTGGGGGAATCATCTGTTAATGAGATAATTTACCTGTTTTATACACCTTTAGTCATGGTTTCTTTTATGGTTATTTCAGTAATGTTAATAAGTTTCTCCACCTGTCAGAGCACACCTTAGTCCTCTCTGTCCGTGGGAAGTTAAGGTATATATGACGTATCTCCCCCGACAGGAGAAAGTGTTCCAGTGACGATACAAAAATGAAGGTTCTCACATGTGATTAGAGTAGTGTCTATAGCAGTTACTATTGTCTGTCTGTTGTCCTGATGTACCGTAACCTAACCTAACCGTAATCTAACCTAACCTAACTTAACGCCAAGAAAGGAGTAAAGATTGGAAATATTCACACCACATATGACACAGAAACTTCATTGAAAATAGTACAAGGTTACAAATTATCTCTCTCTCTCTCTCTCTCTCTCTCTCTCTCTCTCTCTCTCTCTCTCTCTCTCTCTCTCTCTCTCCCCGTCTACTTAACTAACAATCAATATCAGTCCATTTCATGTCACTCAGACGACCTATACACGCTATCACAAACCACAAACTCTCCCCACACCTCTAACAACATCACTAACGACCACTATTGACTCCATTATAATCACAAACGTCAAATATTCAACATAGAAAATACGGAACAGAAAGTGAGACGAATTCACCATAGTTACCCCGGAAATAATCGCGTACCGTTACGTTTTCTTTTACACACGACTGTTGATGTTTATAGCTAATATTTACAGCTTGTTTATGCTATTTTAAGCCATGTATATGCTATCTTTAAGCTTATTTTCACTATCTTTAAGCCTATTTATCTATTTTAAGCTGTATATAAGCTGCCTTCAAATTTATGTAACCTTGCTAAATTACCTCTATCTTTAAGCTCTATTTAAGCTGTTTGACATCGGATGGGCATCTTGTAGAGTTAGAGCGGCTCTGAGAAATTTGGAGTCTGTCTGTCTGTCTGTCTGTCTGTCTGTCTGTCTGTCTATCTATCTGTCTGTCTGTCTGTCTGTCTGTCTGTCTGTCTGTCTAAACACAGTTAAAGTGGTCAGCACGTAATGGTTAAACGTATCTGAGATCTGCCGTAAAGTGAAAGTTTGGATCACTAGTACTGTGTGTTCTTCTTGTTCATGATTTTGTTGTTGTTCTTCGTCTTTTTTGTTATTTTTGTTGTTGTTCTTTCACTTATTATTATTCTTTTTTGTATTGCTGTTCTTTTTGTTCTTTCTCTTGTTCTTCTCTCTTGTTGTTCTTCGCCTGTTTTCTTCTATTGTTATTTCTCTTGTTATTGCTGTTGTAGTTGTTGTTCTTTTTCGTTGTTTTCCTCTTTCTTCTCTTGTTGTTGTTGTTCCCACCTCATTCCTCCTCCTGTTCCTCTTCCGCCTCCTCATCCTCTTCCCCCTCATCTTCTTTCTCCCCCTCCCCCTCCTCCTTTTCCTGCTCCTGCTCCTCTTCTTCCCATTCCCCCTTCCTCCTCCTCCTCTTCTTGTGTTCCTCCTCCTGCTCCTCCTCCTCCTCCTCCTCCTCTTCTACCCATTCCCCCTTCCTCCTCCTCCTCCCATCATCTAGGGACCCATTACTCTCCCACTAATTGGACGCGGTAAAGGGCTCACTACTGTCTCTGAAGGCTCACTTAGCACAAAATTTACCTAATTAGCAAATGTCGCTACCACACCTGCCTCATCTGTGGCTAGTTTGTTTACGGTGCCGAGAGAGAGAGAGAGAGAGAGAGAGAGAGAGAGAGAGAGAGAGAGAGAGAGAGAGAGAGATTACCAGCACTGCCTCCTCATTCTATCTTTTATTCAAGTATTTGTGACTAAAATACTAACACACTTTATTAACACAGGACGTATCCACAACACAGCCTCATACACCCCACAGCATACACTCCCCACAGCATACACCCCACAGCATACACCCCACAGCTCCCCCCCACCCCCAGCATACAGAGAGGGGTGATGACAACAGAGGGAGGCCATGGTAGTGAAAGCTGTTACTGCCCACAATCGGTAATAATATGATCTGTGTAATGTTTGTGGTGGCTGGGGGGGAGGGAGAGAGGGGGAGGATGGATGAAAGAGAGGGATGGGGGAGAGGGAGGATGAGAGGGAAAAGGATGAGTGAGAGGAAGATAGGAGGAAAATTATTTACTTGTTTGTTTTTGTTTGTAGACGTAAATTTCTTCATAAAAGTCATTGTAAAATTTGTAAGTAATGTTTACAATATTGTTTTATCGGCCACTCACTCAGAAGCTTTTAGTTTTAAGTCAGGTGTACAATCTCCCCCAGGTAAGGTATTTCTCCCCCAGGTACGGTAATTCTCCCCCAGGTACGGTAATTCTCCCCAGGTACGGTAATTCTCCCCCAGGTAAGGTATTCTCCCCCAGGTACGGTAATTCTCCCCCAGGTACGGTAATTCTCCCCCAGGTACGGTAATTCTCCCCCAGGTACGGTAATTCTCCTCCAGGTACGGTAATTCTCCCCCAGGTACGGTAATTCTCCCCCAGGTACGGTAATTCTCCTTCAGGTAAGTGGCACTGTTAGTCTGGCACCTGCACACAGTTTAAGGTGGCACTAACACCTCTATAGTCAGATGGAGGTTTAATTAACTCCTAATAAATCAGGTAAGTTGCTCAACCTGTTGGTATTAATGTGTTTTGTTTTCTTTATTTTCATGTATTATAATATATTTGGTGCTTTTATTTATCGTTGTTGTGTAATATTGCTATTTTATCTTTCATATTGTTGTATTAATTTGGTTTATTTGCTTTTGTTATTTTGTTTTCATTAAGATTTTGATATTGTTTATTTCTTATTATTTTCCTTTTCATTTATTGTATTTTGTTTTCATCCCTTTTATTGCCTTAAGTTTATTTAGTTTTTAGTTATTCCTTTTATTATTTGTATTTGTGTATGATGGAGGTCACCAACCACTCTCTTCCTTCCCTCCCTCCCTCCCCTTTACTTCCTTCCTATCCCTATACCTCCTTTCCTCCCTCCCCCGTTCAGCACTCCTTCCCACCCCTCCTCCTTTCCTTCCTTCTCTCTTTTCCCTCCCTCCCTCCCTCCTTCTTCTTTGCCTCCCTATTTATCTCTTTGTCTCCTTTACTCCTTCCCTTCCTCCCTCCCCCTCCTCTGGTTGGTGTCCATCATGCTCTCTGTATAGCTGTTATTCTGCTTCTTATTATTTTTGTTGCTTTAGTTTGTTGTTTTGTTTCCTCCCCCTGGGCAGGGCGGAGTAGTGGGTGACGTGGGTCCTCCTCAGCAGGGCGGAGTAGAGGGTGACGGCGGGCCTTCCTCAGCATGACGCTCAAGACGTGGCTCTCAGGCAGTCACGGCACCTCCCACAAGCACAACAAGAGCACAGTTGACATTCTGTCCTCCCATGATGTGCCTCACCCCCCTAAGCTGGGCCTCTCTAAGGGCCTCACCACGCTGCCTAATGGGGACGTGACGCTCCGCCGGGGACTAAAGAACCCCTTCTCCACCCTGACGCGCACGGGCGGTCGGGAATGGCGTGTACGTAGCGTGGAGGATGTGGTGGAAGCTGAAGGAGGAGATTACGGCTTTCTGGAGTATTACTCTCTCAGAAGGACGTCGTCTCGAGATACTACTCTGACGGACCCACGACCCACCCTCACCTACGGTACCTGGAGTCGTCTTAACGGCACGTGGGGGCGGTGGGTAGACCCGAGTCCCGCACAGTTCTACCCCGGCACCCTGACCCGCGAGGACAAGACTGACCGTAAACGAGGCGGCGGTGACCATCGCTCCTGTACCTACCACCTGGAGGATCCCTGGAGTCCTGAGGACATGAGGACTTCCACCCCGCTCTCCTCCACCACTTCCTCCATCCAGGACCTGCCAGCGCCCTCCATAACTCATTCTCAACAACCACAACAAACTGGGAGCGCTGCTGGAGAGACGACAAGACGTGGGATAGTCAAGCGTAACTCACTCTTGTGGCGGCTAAGGCCCGACAGGTGGCGAGGGACAGATTGTTCACTCCGTCGGGCTCGCAGCCGTGATGATGGACTCGACGTAAATCGAGGACGTCGTAAGGGTGATCTTGGAGCGTCTCAGCCTGACCTCTTGACCTCACACAGAGCTCCAGGTAATCCGGTACAGTGTGACGTGGTGTCGTCCCCGGCGCCATTGTCCATCCTGCCTCCCACCACACGTCGCGCTGCTCACAGTGAGACACTTCCTCGTCGTTCTCGTCACTCCAGTAAAGAGAACAACACTAACACCTTGTTGGCCAGAGGACGTCGGTGGCTACATGGGGCCAGCCTGGGCCGCGCTGACCGGGTCATGGAGAGGGAGGAGTCGGAGCTGATGGTGCAGCCAGAGACTATGATGACTCACAGGGTCGCCTCCACCAACAGCATCAACACTGCCTGTAGGAATAACCACAAGAAGGCCCTCAGCAGCTCTACAGTGTCGGGGCCTCACATGTTCGGCAGCTTAGGGCGAGAGGCGGGGGAGAGTGACCTATGGCGACGAGGACGAGCGAGATCCAGACGGCCTCGCACCTTTTACCTGTTAGAAGACTACCTCTCCCCGGTACGGAGCGCAGGTGTGGCGCCCGCCGGGGTCGTGCTCGACGAGTACGTGGGTCATGGTCCTCGACTCGTTTTTCGCGAACTTTCAAACGAAGCTCCTCAGCGTCCCCTGCCACCGACCCCAGAATGGGACACGCCCTCTCTCTCCCCACCTTCTAGTGTGATGAATGGGCACCACCCCACTCCCCTACAGCACCACGGCCTTCACCACCACACGGGCGGCCCCAGCGTGTTTGTGGACGCCATCATACCCTCACCTGAGAAGAGCGGTGGGTCGAGTGTATACTCCCCCGTGTTCTCCCCGCGTGACTCAGGCTACCCTCGCTTTGTCACCCCAGAACTGGCTCTCCCGGAACTCTCCCTCCCTGACCGGGCACCCCCGCCCATCTCTGGCCTGCCCCCGCCCACACACGCTCTCTACACCCACAATTACTGCAGTCTGGACCGAGATGAACGCCGCCGGACCAAAGAATCTCGCAAGGTAAGTCACGTCACCGTATTAGTCCTGAACCTGTCCTGTCTTATGAGGTGATGGTGACGTCTGGTGAGAAGTTTAGTTTGTGTAACTTGATGAAGTAAATGGCCCTAAATTATACTATTAGATATATGTGTAATATACAGTATAAAGCGAGTGAGTACAGTAGTATGGTAACAGTAATATGGTTAAGGTTGGTGTAGTTACCCAGGAAGACGGATCGTTTTCTCTTCATCATGACTCATTTTCTGTTGTCCTCTGGTGCGGCTTCTGCCATAACTCGCTTAAACATTCCTCACGTGATGTATTGTCTGTATACTGTACATTATAATATATTTAGAGTTTTAGGCAATACAGTTATACAGTTCAGCATGTGTATAGAGAACGCAGGTGTACGGTGTACCTAGACAGTGCATATTTCCAGTAGAGTCCTTTACTTAGGCTTGGTTATTAATCAGTAATAGAATGTCAAGAGGAGTAATAGTGAAAGTTATTATTTTTTAATATAACAAGCATTACGTTACGCTTAGACTATCCGAGGCTGGTGGATCACTTCAACAAAACAACGTTATGTGGTTAACAGTACAGAAACTCGCTCTCTTCTCTTGCTGTAGCTTCATCCGTTATTATTTTTTTAGTTTAGCTGTGAATTGTTGGCTGGTAATTTGTTTCAGTCCGTTATAATTGTAAAGAAGAAAGTGTTTTTCGCTTGACCGCGGACACAAGGTACCATAAAATTATGTTCACTCCCTCTAGTGCCCTGGCGGTACAAAGTTTGTTGTTAGATACTCTGGTCACAGTCCATTAAAAATCATATAAGCGTGATTCAGCCTCAGTTGCTTCACTCTATCCGACACACTTAACAGTTCCAGTGATTGAAGAACTTCGTGACCAACGTGTCCAGAAGGTTTTGAATAATTTGCCGCTTAGCTTTTAGATTCTGTGTTAAGGCAGAGTACCAAGACGAGTAGGAATGATGAAAGTAAACATTTAGGCATCTGTATAAAGAAATTATATCCTGCCATTATAATTACTTACTATATTATCTATGCTTGATGCTTAGGATAGATAATATATAAGTGCAAACGTCTATTTTCCAAGTTTTGTTTACTTTATGAACTGGACCACCATAATCTTTGCTGACAATGTAAAAAAGAGGCGAGAAAATTGTATAATACTTAACAAAAATATGACTGTCCGGTACGAGTACATATTATACACAAAAGGTAGATAATTTATATAAACTAGTAAGAAATATAAAGAAAAATATAAATGAACTGTTTTAGAGGTAAAAGACGAAATATGATCAGGTGAGAGTGTGAACGTAAGAGCAGCCACTGTGCTTCCCGTCCACAGTGTCGCCGGGAATAAAGGGGAAACAATGAAGAAAAGACCTGGTCACCTCCCTTTCCCTACCTGGCTCCCTCCCACACCAGGTTGGCTCACTCGTCAACTATAGTGTAGGTGATGTGAGAGGTGTGGGTGATGTGAGAGGTGTGGGTGATGTGAGAGGTGTAGGTGATGTGAGAGGTGTTGGTGAAGTGAGAGGTGTTGGTGAAGTGAGAGGTGATGTGAGAGGTGTTGGTGATGTGAGAGGTGTATGTGATGTGAGAGGTGTTGGTGATGTGAGAGGTGTAGGTGATGTGAGAGGTGTTGGTGAAGTGAGAGGTGTAGGTGATGTGAGAGGTGTGGGTAGGGGGGGGGAGAGGGGTGACTTCTCTTCCTTTGGGGTATAAGATTATGACTGAATGACGCTACAGAAATATTGATGTGGGTTGATTTCATTAGGTTAGGTTAGGTTAGGGTTTGGATAGGTTAGGTTAGGTTAGGGTTAGGTTAGATCAGGTTAGGCTAGGATTTGGTTAGATCGGGTTAGGTTAGGGTTTGGATAGATTAGATTAGGGTAGGGTTTGGATAGGTTAGATTAGGGTAGGGTTTGGATAGGTTAAGTTAGGGTAGGGTTTGGATAGGTTAGGTTTGGATAGCTAAGGTCATGGCTAGCAGTGTGTTGGCATTTATGTTGTCTCTGTTGATGCCAAATTATTAAACAGATGATATTTCTTAAATTATGCAAATGAGGAGACCATATCTATTGTTATACTGAGCGAAATAATAATAATAATAATAATAATAATAATAATAATAATAATCGACTCTTTCAACGACACCTTTCCAGAAGACTTCGAAAATTTATATTGGAAAAAAATATTTTTAGAACACACACACACACACACACACACACACACACACACACACACACACACACACACACACACACACACACACACACACACACACACTCATTTCGCCCAACATAGAAATTGTTGTTCCCATCTCGTGTAGGTAAAAAAAGAAAGACATTTTAACCCAAGAGAAAAACGTGCAGAGATCTGGAACTGTCAACACGAATATTTCCCAAATATTTCCCCTCAGACTTCCGGAAAAGTCCGTTTGTGAATCTTTTCGTAGCTTCCAATCGACTGAATCTCCAATCCTGTCAGTTTCGTCGTTTGTCACAACACCTAATCTTTAAAAATTTGTTGCTGTCTTCTTTATCTAATCTCTCCCTCCTGACTGGCCCGTCATCTCTGCCAGGCAATAACCGCTTCTCTCTCTCTAATGTCTCCAGTCAGCCCCTCGCCTCCTGCGCCAGCCAATATCTTCTCCAGTCCCTCACCCCTTCCCTACGTCCCTACATACCCCCTTTTCTAAGACCCCCCCCCACCGGCCCAGGACCCCCCTTACCCAGTTACACCTTTTTCCTTGCCCCTTTCTCTTAAGTTACACATCTAAGACCCCCCCACCGGCCCAGGACCCCCCTTACCCAGTTACATTCCTGCCGTCAATTTTCCAATCATTTGGACACGAGAGTCGAAACCTGATTGGCTGAAGCTGAGGTTTGTGGCTGTGACGTCATGGCCAAGTCTAATCAATGATTGAATGGTGTGGGGTTTTGTGTGAGGTTCTGGGAGGCTGTGTCAGGCTGCCGCTTACCTCATTAACCCTCTTGGTTCACAGATTCACATCCCAGGTGAATCAAATATCTCCAATCGTGTGATATATACCTAGGGAGTTTGATTGGGTTGTGTAGGCGTCGTGTTGTGGCCATGTGTGGTGGTTGATGGCAACTTTGAGTCGTTCCTATGGCAACGGTAGTGAGGCGGCGGCACCTGTAGCACCTGACCGCCAGTACCCCGGACGACTCTCACACGTGCGCACACTCACCTGTGGACGCCGCCACCTGCATGTGCTTCCCCGTATCCCGCTAAACGTTCCTCTCACTCCCTCGCTCACTCCTCCCAGCACTCCCGCCTAGACGTCGTCCTCAGCAAAAACAAACACACCTGTTGTTGTTGTTGTCTCAGATCTGACATAACTAATCACTCGGTGTAGGACAGGAAGTCATTATGATCACCTGGTGTGGTATAAGTGGTGTGGTAAGAGTGTGTGGTGAGTTCTTACGACCAGTGGAGTGACGGTGAGTGCTGCTGTCTAAGGAGGAGGACTGTCTTGACTGTTGAACATAAGTGAGAGGGTTTCGAGCTGTGGTACTGGCGACCCCTAATGGCCGGTGTTGCCTCGTTAGTGATGTCGGGACCACTAATACCACCATCACCATCGCCCAGGCCCTGGGGGGAGCAGCTCCCCTCGACTTGTCGCGCTATGGTCAGCTAGGGGGGCCCCTGGCTGACTGTGCCCCATATGGAGGGTGCCAGGGTCATAGTGGTCCCCTTCTACCACACTTACCCATGGGGACTACCCAGGCATAGGCGGGTGAGTGACCCATTATAGCTAGCTCTCATGGTCCCCACTTATGGTGGACCATGGTAATCCAGGACCGCCCTATCCCTGGGACCATGATACCACCCTAACCAATGGTTCCCTAGCATCATGTTAATACTAAAACCATGGTACTTCAGGGATCATGGTTCTCTAAAATTATGATTGCCCAGGACCATGCTAACTAAGGGTCATACTGCCGAGGACCATAGTAAGCTTGGGCCATATTACTCGGAAGAACATGATAGCTCGTTGGTACAGAGACCATAATATTATATGGCCCTCGGTAACCCTGACACCTTGTTACCATGATCTTAGCTCTACCACGGCCACGGTAGCCCTAGGTTCATACTAACCCCAGGACCAAGTAACCCCAGGACCATGTTACCCCCAGGACCATGTAACCCCAGGACCATGTTACCCCCAGGACCATGTAACCCCAGGACCATGTTACCCCCAGGACCATGTAACCCCAGGACCATGTTAACCCCAGGACCATGTTACCCCCAGGACCATGTAACCCCCCATGTTACCCCAGGACCATATAACCCCAGGACCATGTAACCCCAGGACCATAACCCCAGGACCATGTTACCCCAGGACCATATAACCCCAGGACCATGTTACCTCAGGACCATGTAACCCCAGGACCATGTTACCCCAGGACCATATAACCCCAGGACCATGTTACCCCCAGGACCTTGTAACCCCAGGACCATGTAACCCCAGGACCATGTTACCCCAGGACCATACCCCAGGACCATGTTACCCCAGGACCATGTAACCCCAGGACCATGTTACCCCCAGGACCATGTGCCTAGGACCATGTTACCCCAGGACCATGTAACCCCAGGACCATGTTACCCCCAGGACCATGTAACCACAGGACCATGGTAACCCCAGGACCATGTAAACCCAGGACCATGTTACTCAGGGCCATCACCCCAGGACCATCTTACCCCAGGACCATCTTACCCCAGGACCATCACCCCCAGGACCATGTGACCATACCCACCCCAGGACCATGCAACCCCAGGACCATGTTACCCCAGGACCATGTAACCCCAGGACCATGTTACCCCCAGGACCATGTAACCCCAGGACCATGTTACCCCAGGACCATGTAACCCCAGGACCATGTAACCCCAGGACCATGTAACCCCAGGACCATGCCCCCAGGACCATGTAACCCCAGGACCATGTTACCCCAGGACCATGTAACCCCA